GAAGGATGAGGAAGGCCAGAGCGGGCAAAGACACAGAGACACAGAGAGAGGGGGATAGAGACAGAGATGGGAGCCCGTGAGCCAGCGGCAGAAACAGAAGAGAGACCTGGAGACAGGGAGACACAGGGTGAAGAGAGACCCAGGCAGGACACAGAAATCACCCCTTTACTCACCGACCGACTGCAGGGGTGGGGATCCACCCTGGCCAGTGCTCCACTCTCCAGGCCACGGAGACCAGGGAGGGCAGTCCCTCCTGCGGGACCTTCTCTGAGCCATAGGGACGCCAAGGGACAGGCTGAGCCCCTACAGACGCGGTGCCGCCCCGGACACTCAAGGAAACCCCGGGGACAGGTCACATTCCCACCTCCCCCACCTTAGCTGGAAAGAGCCAAGAAGCCCCAGGGGATTTTGGGGGATTTGCCCAAGGGCAGGGAGGCTGGGGGTGGGAGGCTCCCAGCAGGGCTGGATTTAGGGTGAGGCAAGTGACTCAGGGCACACTTGGATGCTGTCTTCACTTAACATTCGGACGGTTTGTTCATCACGGACTTCTGACTTTTTACAACACCGCATGAACACAGTATTCATTCCGGGGCCTGAGTCGTTGGTGCAGGAGGTGACTGCCTCACCTGCCAGTCCCCGTTCTAGGCCACCCCTCTCCTCCCTACCGCGGGGGCCCAGCGATCAGGCCATACACATTCATCCTCTGCTCGGAGAGCTTTTATTCCCAGGGCCCGGGGTGGTGCCTCGTTACAGGACCGACAGGACAGGGTGCGGGAGAGGGGGCTCACAGGGTCTCCGGCGGGGGTGAGGGCACAGTCAGGGCTGGGGATGACACTGGCCAGTGCGTGCAGGGACCAGTGGGGCAGTGGACGCAGCTAAGTACAGTCGAGAAGGCCCAGGCTGGTGTCCGAGCTTAGAAGGTCAGCGCGTGAGCCTGGACGCCCCCACGCGTGAGCCTGGCGGGCGGAGGGTCAGTGCTGTGATGCTCAGCGGCCCTGAGCTTGGAGTCTTTGCATCTGTAGGATCTGGCTCAGGATCCGCTGCACATCTTCATCCATCTGACCCTGGGGCAGGGGGAAGCAGAGAGAGAGAGCGCCTGGGCACTCCTGCCCCGGCTTCCCGGTTCCCTCCCGCGCCACCCCTGAAGGCCATGAACCTCTCCTCCTGTACAGATGGGAGAACGGGCCAGGGTGTTGGTGGCCAGGCGAGACTCACCTGAATGGCATATAGGAGGTGGCTTCTGTACAAGGCCACCACTGCGCTGTGGTCCCTGGCAGCCTGCTGTGAGTATGGGGGAGGGGTGCTTAGAAAAGCAGGTCCCCCCAACACGCCCCAAAGCCCCCTTTACACCCAGAGCCCCTGCCCCAGTGTGACAGCTGCTAAAATCCTGAACTGCTTTCCTCCCCCGCCCCGTGTCCTCACCTTCAGCTGCTCCTGCAAGGCCTTGACCTGGCCTTGGAGGGCCTCCACCTCGGGGGTGCCTGGGGCCGCTGGCTGGTCCTTCAGGGCCTCCTTAAGACTGAAGACTTCCTTGGAGAGCTCTGTGATCTAGGCGGGGCGGGTAGGGGGGACCTCCAGTCACCCTGAGCCTGGGGCCCGAGACATTGGACCTCCCCAGCACCTAGGGAAGAGGCTGGTGAGGGAAGGTCACATCCTAGAGCCTGGCCAACTCCGGCCCGCGGGAGTCTGGCCCGTGAGCTAAGAATGGCTCTCACATTTGTAAATGGTTGGGGGGGAAATGTCAAAAGAAAAATGATATTTCATGACATAGGAAAATCAAATCAAATTCCGAGCTCGTACATAAAATTTCATTGGTGCGCTGCCAGGCCCATTCACTGACACGTCAGAGCCGAAAACATGGACTCTGGCTCTTTCCAGAAGTTTGCCGATCCTGTCACAGCCCCTCTTGCAGACTCTGGAAAGGGGAGGCTGACAGAACGGGAGGCCCAAAGCAGCCTGGCCTGGTGGGGCTGGGTCAGGCAGCCCTGGGCTTGGGTCCCTCCCTACCCCTTTCTTGCAGGAGATCTTGGGAAGACGGCTTAACCCCTCTGAGCCTCAGTTTCCTTATCTGTAAAGGAAGGAGAATCACGGTTCTCACCTTGGCAGGTTACTGTGATTCTGAACGGAGGTTAAATCTACACTGTGCCTGGCAAACAGCAGGCACTCAATAAATGCTAAGCTTTATTATTATACTACAGATCAGAGGTTCTCAATCTCTGCCCTCAGGGAACCCCAGGCCATGTGTGGGGATGTCTGCGGCTGTCACATTGGGGGTGCTCCTGGCATGGAGGGGGTGGGGCCAGGGATGCTGCTCACCCCCCCACAGTGCCCGGGACGCCCCCCCATAGAGAATGGCCTGACCCCAGTGTCACTAGGTGCCGAGGGGGAGAGATCCTGCAACAAATAAACCATAATCTCGACCACAATTTTATGTTCATTTTGCAGAAGGTGTTAACAGGCTCAGAGAGGTCAACTGACTTGTTCAAGGTCACACAGTGAGCTAGGGCTGGGGGATTCTATGCTGATGCACCTGGGGCTCTGGGAGTCATGTGCCTGTCCAATGAGCGAGCGACCTGACGTGTCACTCTGACATGTCACACTTGGCCTCTCAGAGCCTCAGCTTGCTCATCTAGAAAACAGGAATAAGAATGCCTTCTGGCTTTCGGGGTTAGAGGGAAATTAAAAGTGATAGTGTGTGAAAACCACCCAACTCAGTAGCCATGGCCTGCTGTCAACCATCGTCGTTACTGAAGACCAGAACTTGGGAAGCTGGGTCCAAACGCTGGCTGAACCTCTGCATGGCTGTGCGACCTCAGGCAAGTGGCATCCCCTCCCTGTGCCTTGCTTCTTCAAATGGGGAAAATAAGAGCACTGATCTTACGGGAACTTGACGTGAGGATTACATGTGTTAGTCCATGTCAAATACATAGCTCGGGGCCTAGCATGCAGTAAGTGCTCAGTAAATGTTAACTGTGGTTATAATTCACAGTTAGAACAGTAGCCCACATGTCTGAGTTGTCCCCTTCCTTCTCTGTGCCTCAGTCTCCCATCTAGAAAATGGGCTGATCTCCCAAGACTCGTTCATCTGGGACATTCTTGGATTTCCCCCAACCTTTGTTGGGTGGGAACCCCCCAAGGGAGCACAGGGAAAGGGGACGCACCTTCTTGTCCTTCTCCTTGGCCATATCCAGGGCTTCCTGGGCACGGCTCTGGGCCTGGCGTGCCCGCTCGGCCTCGGTCCGTAGCCCCAATAGCTGCTGTTCTGCTGTGGCCAGTTTCGCCTCGGCCGCATGCCGCTCACTCTTCATGAACAACGCCTCCCTCTGGACCTGCAGCCCAAGCCCATGAGGGAGCGTGAGCCCGAGGACATGAGGACCCCAAAGTCTCCTGACCCTTCCATTCGGGCCCGAGGACATTCAAGCCCATTCTGATATCGAGGAGTTTGACTCAGGGAGTGCTGGATTCTTCCCGGACACCACAAACATTCCGGCCCATTCTTATACTCATGACGTGTTAGCTGTGTGGCCTCAGACAACTGACTCAACCTCTCTTTGTCTGTTTCCTCATATGGAAGATCAGGGTAATAGCAGTCCCCACTTTGCAGAGTAATTGTGAGGAGGAAATGGACAAATACAGGGCATGTGCTTAGAACAGAATCATTATTTTTCCAAGAAAACGCTCTTTTAAAATCAGTTAATTCTGGCTGCCATTTACTGATCTCTTATACTATGACTGCCCTAAATCATTTATAGAGATTAAAACATTCAATTTTCACCTGAGAATTCAGAAGTAGTATTATCTCTGTCCCAGGGGTGAGTAAACAGAGGCATGGAGAGAAAAATGCTTTCCCAACAACAACTAATGAATGTGGCTTCTTATTCACGTATTTTGTTATAACACCTGCCAGTTTTTGTGGGGTTTTTTGTTTTTTTTTTTAATATTATTATTATTACTATTATTTTTAAAGATTTTATTTATTTATTTGAGAGAGAGAATGAGAGCACATGAGAGGGGGGAGGGTCAGAGGGAGAAGCAGACTCCCCTGGGACTCCAGGATCATGACCTGAGCTGAAGGCAGTCGCTTAACCAACTGAGCCACCCAGGCACCCTTTTGTTTGTTTCTTAAGAGAAGAGATGGAATCAAATGTCCACCACGAGGGACAAAATATATATATATACATATATTCCCAATATACATACATGTATATATATGTTCCCTGGCCTTAAAAAACCCAACAACTCAGCATCAAAATCTACTGGGTTGAAAATATTCGATTAAAAATCTCTGGGCATGGGGCGCCTGGGTGGCTCAGTCATTAAGCATCTGCCTTCGGCTCAGGTCATGATCCCAGGGTCCTGGAATCAAGCCCCACATCGGGCTCCTGCTCAGCAGGAAGCCTGCTTCTCCCTCTCCCACTCCCCCTGCTTGTGTTCCCGCTCTCGCTGTGTCTCTCTCTGTCAAATAAACAAAATCTTAAAAAAATAAATAAAAATAAAAATGATTTAAAAAAAAATCTCTGGGCATAACGTCCTCCTACTTTTGGGCTGAAGAATCAAAAATGATCCCAAGGCAAAATGACAAGCTCTAAACAGCCAACTGGAAGAACCACAGGCAGATTACAGGCCAGCAGAGAAAATGGTGTCATAGTGAAAAAAACATCAGGTTCCCTGCTCAGTGGGGAGCCTGCTTTCCCTCTGTCCCTCCCCCTGCTTGTGCTCTCTCTCCCTCTCGCTCTCAAATAGTCTTTTTTTTTTTTTTTTTTAAGATTTTACTTATTTATTTGACAGAGAGAGAGAGAGCACAAGCAGAGGGAGCGGCAGAGGGAGAGGCAGAAGCAGGCTCTCCGCTGAGCAGGGAGCCCGATGCAGGACTCGATCCCAGGACCCTGGGACCATGACCTGAGCCAAAGGCAGATGCTTAACGACTGAGCCACCCAGGCTCCCCTCAAATAAATAGTCTTAAAAAAAAAAAAAAGGAAAAGAAAAAGAAAGATGATGGGGTCAAAATGGCCAAAGGTTTTTAAGAAAAGATAACACAAGTTGAGATGTCCAGAGCTCAGAACAGTTTCAGGGTCAGCCATCCACCCAGAAACGCTAACAGGCTCAGGTGTCTACAGGACTGGAACCCTGGCTGTGGGTCGGGCCGCCAAGTGGCTGCTGGTTGGGCTGGGACCGGGCTGTGCTGGCCGGGGGCCTGGCTACGCTCACCTGGAAGACCTCGGCGCTGGTCTTCTCATGCCGTCGCCCCAGCTCCTCCAGCTGCCCCTCCAGCCGGGCCACGTCAGCCTGCAAGGCGCCCACGATGCGCTCGTGCTCCAGGCTGGCCACGCCCCCCACACGCTCCCGCTCCAGCTCGGCCCGCAGCCGGGCGGCCTCCTTGCCCGTGGCCACCACCTCCCGCTCCAGGCTGGCCGCCCGGCCCCGCAACTCAAGGGCCTCCTCCTGCAGCCGGCGGTGCTCAGAGGCCGGCACCGCCGACTGACGCAGGGCCTCGGAAGCCTCGCGCAGCTCCGCCAGGCCCCGCCGGGCCTCCTCGCAGGCCGCGGACAGCTCAGCCGCTCGGGCCTCAGCTGCATCCCGTGCTCGGCCCAGCTCGGCGGCCACAGCCTGCTGCCGCTCCCCGGCGGCCGTGGCCGTGGCCAGCTGCTCCCGCAGCACCTGCAGCTCCCGGCTCTGCTCCAGCCGCACCTCCTCCCGCTGCTCCAGCTCTGCCCGCAGGCCCCGGGCCTCCTCCTCGGCCAGCAGCCGGCCAGCCCGGGCCTCGTCCAGCCGGGCTGAGGCCGCCTCCAGCTCCCGGAGGCGGGCGTCCCGGACTCCGAGGTCCTCCCGGGCCTGCTCCAGGGCGGCCCGCAGCTGGACCATGTCACCGCCCCCAGCGGCTCCGCCGCCCTCAGCCTGGCGCATCCGCTCCCGGAGCAGGCCAGCCTCGGCCTCAGCGGCCTGGCACTTGCCGTGGGCCGCCTCCAGCTCGGCGGCCGCCTCCCGCTCCCGTTGCCGGAGTGCCTCCTCCAAGCCGCGAATCCGGGTCTCCAGCTCTGCCTGCAGCTGTTCGGAGGCCTCCGCAGCACCAGGGTGGAGAACCGGGTCCGGGGAGGCCCTCGGGACTGCAGCCCCCACCAATGTGGCCTCCACATGTGTGGTCTCTGTGCCTGCGGGCACGGCCTCCACGCCGCCTGCTCCGCTGGCCCTCATTTCCCGTTCCTCTGCTTTCAGCTTTGTGGCCTTGGCTCCCGTGGCCTTTGCCTCTGGATTTCCTCCCTCTTCCAGAGCCTCGGGTTCTGGGGCCTCGGCCCCCGTGGGTTTTGTTTCTGTGGCCTCGGCCCCCGTGGGTTTTGTCTCTGTGGCCTCGGCCCCCGTGGATTTTGTCTCTGTGGCCTCAGCCCCCACAGAAGCTGCTTCCACAGTTTCCAGGCCTGTAGCCTCCTCGTCTGTGGTCTCAGCTCCATTCACTTTGGATCCCAGAGCCGTGGCACCGTCAAGCTCCATTTTCGTTGGCCCGTTCCTGGTGGTCTTGCCTCCCATGCCCCTGCCCTCCCCAGCGGCTGCCTCCTCTTCCCCAGGGGCGCCCCACGTTTCCTGTCGCTCCAGTGCCTGCAGAGCCTCCGCATGCTGCCTGCAGAGCTGGTCGAACTCAGCCCGAAGAGAGTCATAGAGGGCCAGAGGGATGACCTCGGCTGACCCGTTCACCTCCATCTCGTCCTTCTCGAAGCTCTCCAGGATCTGGGAGGTAGTGGGGAGCTGGCGGGAGCTTGTGGCCATGGGGGCTCAGAGTGGCACTGCCACCTTCCCTGCCCACAGACTCAGCCGTGTGCCCACCCTGACCCCTCCCCGGGGAACAATCCCTCAGGTCCTCAGACTTGTCCCCATCCCACCCTCCAGGGCCTCAGTTTCCCCACCTGGACCTTCTCCATCAGCTCCTGGTTTTGTCTGGTGAGTGCAGCCACCTGCTCCTGCAGTGAGGCCAAGAGCTCCTGGGCTGAGGGGCTTAGCCGTTTGGAGAGCAGAGCCTCGGCCCCTGGTGGGCGCACAGAGTCAGCCCCGGGTGTCCTGGGCCACAGGGGATGGGAACTAGGGGTCTGGAGCAGGGGGTCAGAGCCCCCAAGGCAAGCAGGTGGAATGAATAATGGGTGGGGGCCGACCTCCCTCCCAGCTTCAAACTCTCTCCATGCCTGTGGGTCAAGGCTCCATTTCCAGGGGCCCCAGGGACAAGGTGGACAGGGGTGCATGGAGGGAGGACGGAGGTGGGAGCTCACCTGGAAAGTCAGACAGTTCTCCCTCCTCATCCTGCAGAGTGGCCACATCATAGCTGGTATTCTCCCGCTCATTCTGGGGGGGGACAGGGTCCGGCACCAGTATTACCCCCTTCCCAGCCCCAAACCTGCCCCCAAGAATCTAGAGAGGACAGGGGAATCCACGTGTCCCCATCGCTCCCCAGGAGCATCAGACTGGCCGCGTCTGGGCCACAGTGTTTGCTGAGTGCCACCTGTGTGCTGTGGGGCTGTGCTGGGCTCCCCGGAAGGGCAGGGAACAGCCCAGCCACTGCGCGAATGTGTGACCGTAACCCGATGCCTGGGGGTGTATGTGCGGCCTGTGTGTGTGGGTCACGGAGAGAGGGATGCGGGGCTGTGTCCTCACAGGGTTATGTCTGGGATCCTGCACTGGGGTCACGTCGGGCTGAGGGTGTCTGCATGTGAGTACGGAGAGCTCAGGGTTCAGGGGTCTGTGGTGAGCACGGGGGTGTCGCGTGGCCCCCCACCCCTCCCGTGTGAGTTCCTGTGACCGTGTGTGATTTTGTGCTTGTGTTTTAGTCTGTTGTGTGTGTGATTGCTTTGGCCGTGCTTGTGGATATAGGTGGGTCTGTGCGCGTGAGCACCAGGTGCCCACGGATGTTTGTGTAATCACGTATTGGGGGAAATACTTGTGCGTGTGCATGGGTTTGTGGGTGTGTCGTCCGCGTGGGACGGAGGAGCGTCTGTTGTGTGGGCGCCAGTATTTCTGGCGTGCATGTGGGAGTAGGCTTGCTGTGCTCACCCGTTTAACGTGCAAGACCACGCGTGCGTGAGCGCGGCTGCTCATCTGTGTGTGTCCCGGCTCCGTGTTTGGAGACGTGTCCACTGTGCACGTACGTGTGTGGGTGTGTTGTCTGTGACGGTGCGTTTGTAGGTTTGACTGTTGTGTGTTCGCGTGGGAGAGTCTGTACCTAACACTGGTGTGGCTGTCCCGTAACCACAGCGCGCGCGAGGCCCCGCCCCTGCCCGCAAGGCTCCGCCCACCTCCAGCAGGGACAGCCTGCTCTGCAGACTCTCCACTTCCCGTCCCAGGCTCTCCTTCTCCTCCTGCTTCTCAGCCAGCAGCTGCTGCAGCTCTTGCACCTGGAAGGAGGGCGGCAGCGGGGGGG